CCCTTAGTTTAATTTCGTTGTAATTTTTCGTAATTAGTAAATCAAAGTTTAACTGTTTGAAAAGTGCAGTAAAGAATAAATTATTGACTTTTCATTGATATTGTTTTTTAATTATGCTTATGTATCAAGCTATTTCGCAAAAAGTAGAAATAAAGTGGAAAAGGATCATTTTCCGAAACGTCGATCATCTGAAGAAAGCAGCGTACATAATTTCCATCTCTTCCAATCGATTATTCAATTTGTTGACAAAATTTCTGAATACAATGAGTTACCGACCAAGTGAACTCTTCAGTGGACTCAAGTTATTCAGTATTTTTTCGAGGTGAACATTTTGAATTGTCCATTATTATACTTTAGAGAAACGGAAAATTAAACATCTCATTATTCTCAATTGATGATTCAATTGAAAAAATGACATTTATACTATTTCTGCTGAGTTACCTTGTATATATAATTAAATCTCAAAACTCAGTGTGATATGATTTTGATCTATTGAGAATCCAGTTATATTTATTCATATGCAAAATGTTTCTTGATCACAGACTAATATTCTTGGTTCCATATATTCTTTATTCAAGGACATACTGAAATGAAACCACACAATATTGCCATGACAAAATTTAATTTTTTTAAAAACTTGAGACGTTAGGGTATATTCATGTAAATCTGAACCCTATATATGAAAAAAATAATAGAAGAGAGTCATGAAAACATTTCATATATCAGATGTATCACTAAGACCAGTAGGTAGTGGATGAATTTTTACTAATCGGAAGTGTCACTGGAATCAAAATAGGGATCTATCAGATTACAAGAGAAACAAATTCTTATATAATCATTCCACCTCAATTTTTTAGAAAAGTACATGGATTATCTTACCAACGATATTGAAACAAATATGATTTCTCATAGTAAGCGTTCAGGAAAATAAAACAGGTCGGACCCATCGATTTTATTCTTTTTTGGTCGATTTCTCTCTTGAACAATAATCGACGAGTACGAGTGTTATTTCTCAAATATCAAATATCCGTTTTATTTTCATTTATTGAAATCATCATTAATTGCTACTTTCAGGTGGAATGGCATCCTTATTATCACTCAGATGATCTACTCAATTTCTGCAAAAAAGAAGGTATTCTGCTACAAGCTTATTCGTCTTTAGGGGGAACTGACAGAAAAGAATTATTGGAAGATCCAGAGGTCAAGAAAATTTCAGAAAAATTAGGAAAAACTCCTGCCCAGGTGAGTATATTTATTAAGGCGGATTTTCACCGAACGGACTTGCTTGCGACTAGTTCCGTTCCCAATCTTAATAAAATATAGTTACTATTTGAGCTCATTCTATAAAACTCTCCACATTTCTGTTCATGTTGAGAGAGCTCACGGGAAACCACTGCCGTTGAATGTTGAACATTATATGGGTGTATCCAATATTTTTTTGTGAGAACGAAATATTGAGAGCAGACAGTTGTTGGTTCACAGATGGATAAACAACGCCTTCTGGTTCTGTTGTAGGTGTTTTCACTCGCAGACCCAGGACAGAGATATCAACCTGCCTATGCGACTGTATTTCAAGCGGAAATTTACGCTATTGAATTATGTGCGGAGAGATTGAAAGAATCCAACCTCATACTCAGTAAGCAAAAACACTGTCCTTCTCTGTGGAGCTCATGACGACTGATGAAACAACAGCTCCGTTGCTTATCCTACAGGCTATTGTATCGCTCCAGTGTGCACTGGAATTTTGCGAAGATAAAAGTTGCATCGGGCGATAAAAGATTGCTCATCCTGCATAGTTTATCGTATCGCTCATGTGGGAACGACACATTAGCCTTGTTTGTGGGGTTTTCTCAAGTCGCAAGTGTATGCGAATGAGCCACAAACCACAGCGGTCTTCAAAGCCAACGTAACCCATGCCATCGGTCAAATTCAGCCTGATTTATGAGTCAGAGTCATTGTACGTTTCGGATGCGCTTCACTCAGAGAAACCGTGGCGGTATTCGAACGATGTTATATTTCACACATAATGGCGTCAATACGTCTTTCAAATGAAACATTTCGATGATATCTCACACAATTTTTTTATTTAAAGCGCTTAATGAAAGATCTAGACTTCAAACATTCGTTATGGAATTGAATCAAATGTTATTCACAGGAACACAATATGAGATACAATTTCACTTATATGGAAAACTGTCATCCACATCGATGTTTCGGAATGAGTCACTTGTCTTACTGCCTCTTCAGATTTGTACTGAAAATGTATTTTACACATATGTTGTCAATTTCTCATTCATCACACTTAAATACTTTATTTATCATTGTCTCTCTGAAGCGTTTATATAGTTTGACGGGCATGCATAACAATAAAGATAATAATAATTATTATATTATATATAATAGACCTGCGAAGTGTTGATCACTTTACCGATGTTTCAAAGTATTTAACGAACTGGTTCACCCATTCGCTCGTACATCCTATCGATATGCAGAAGCTATCTTGTTACGGGGGTCAAATTTTACTTTTCAATTATTTACAATGGCGATGCATAGACAATAAAATGACCCCGGTAAGAATTTAGTTCTAACATTTAACATTGTTGCCGTTAGCTCTCAGTTCAATTTGTATATGAGTTACCTTCAACTGAAAATTGTTATACTGTAACTGATAGTGTTTCGTTATTGATTCGGCCGTTACTTGATGAAGATTCATAGTGATTTCATAAACTACACCTCACGATTTGATCTCCACAAACTTTATTTGAAAAATATATCACGACATGTTTCGCCAACACAGTACCTTGTGAATAATGTACTTCGTTATCCACTACGGAAAAGCTACTGTTTTAACGAAACATGTGATAGTTTTTTGAAAAATCAGCGTGTCTCGAATGATACGAGCAAGCAAATTTCATCCTTACCACATTCAATTGATGCAAGAGTTAAGAGAAAGAGATTTTGAAAAACGTGTTCAATTTTGCGATGGGGCTTAGAAAAGATCAATCAGAAAAATGATTTTTTCGATTTCGTGTTGATTTCTGAAGCGAGTTTTTATAAAAACATGCATTATTATGCAACGGAAAACCCCCATTTTCTTCTTTGTCTGAACCATCGACAGCGTTGGTCACTGAGTGTTTAGGGTGGAATTCTTGGAAAAAGAGTTATCGGTCTGTATTTTTTTGGTGGGCATATCACTGGAAGAAAATAAGTGAGATTTTTCGGCATGAGTTTTCGAATTTATTGGATGGGGTTCCATGTGGAACAAGACTTAGAATGTGGCTACAAGAAGTCGGTGCACCACCACATTACAAAACTGAGATACGGGAATACCTCAACGATCATTTCAATAAAAAATGAATAGGTAGGGGTGGGCCTATGGTGTGGCCACCCAGATCACCTGACCTGAACAAAATGGATTTTTCTTGGGGGCATATCAAATGGATTGTTTACTAAAGTCCTCTGACATCTGTAGGAGACATGAAACGAAGAATCACTAGAGGTTTCAGGGGAATCCCAGAGAATATGCTGGAACGTGTAGAGAATTCGTTTAAAGACTGACATTATGTGTTGCAAAAAATGGTCGCCATTTTGAACATCTTTTGGACTCCTCTATTCAATAAAAAATATAGGCGTTATTATTCATATTGAAAAAAATTAAACTCGGTCCTGAGTTTCGAGTGAAAATACTAGCTTTCAACTCATCGTCAGCTCTTTCAAGACAGTTTAATAGATGGTTTAATCAGATTTTTGTATTTTTTTCGAATAATCAATAATGACAATTCACTTTTCGGTGACAGAAATCATTCTGTCACCAGAAATCATTTGGTACAAACATTCAACTCAATGTGACAATAAAAATTGTGACTCATTCCACAAAATACAGAGTAGTTTTTCAACTGTGAGATATTCAAATTACTACTAATACAACATACTAGAAACAAGTATCGATTGAGGAAAATACCACATTTCATAACCTCAAACGTCAAGTCAAAACACAAATTTCGCGGTAGTTTGCTATAGCCACACTTATCGGCTCAAAGAAACCAGTAGGTATAAGCNCTCATCTTGATTTTGAGTAGAATCACGAAAAGTTTCTTGAAATTTTTTCAACCGTTTATGTTCGTTAAAAAAAAAGGTCACATTCCTTTTTGTACCTTTTTTTTTCTGTTAGAATTCCTCGTTTGTCATCATTCACTTAAATTCCTACTTTGACACACTGAATGCCCAAATTTTATTCATTCGTTTATCATTTACTTTCCACTGGATTGCGAAAGTAAATCAAAATTCGAAAATAATTCAATACATTCATGATATTACATAACAAAACATTATCAGACAAATTGATAAAAGTAGAGTATTTTCAAAATAACGAAAGTTCATTTTTGTTTCATCATAGATATAAAGTGGTAAGGATATCTCAACTCAAAGGAAGATAAGTTGAACACACATTTAAAATATGGGATATATTTCTGTGAAAAAATATTGAAACATATTTTTTTTTGAACAGCTGTCGCCTCTAAATGAACGACAACCCTCAGTAGTTTGAACTTATGCGAGCTAAGAATTAACAAGGTCTTATATTTCAAGATGAGATTCCCAACATTTTTTCGAGAAAGTTTGGATCTAGAAAGTGAATTTTGGTAGTTCAACGGAACTATCATTTCACGCGCTCATATATATAAACCAAATATTAATTAATAAATCAAGTGCGAGTGTCTTTATTTCGAATGGAGGGTTTTCCGAGATTTTAAATTGTATGCCATCCGACCCACGTCCAAAGTACCCGTTTGGGTTGACATGGTATTGAAATTCAGAAATATCTAGTTTATCAAAAAAATATTTACACTGACGGCAGAAGATGTCATTTTCACAACCAGGCAAATGATATGATAGAAAAAACAATTCACCTTACTTCTTCTCATGTAAACATATCTGTATTGAATCGAGAAAATATATAATAAAAGTTACGTACAATTATATAGAAGTAGAATAATATCAATCAGTGCCATTCGGCATTGATTGATTTTGTGGATAATCCAAAAAACACTTCTACACAAACACCTTTGTGATTTTCATGAATAATCTACAACAGAAGTATTTGGTAGTAGTCACAATACATGTTTTCTCTTTGAGCTCCTAATTCCAGCTTCACTTTTTGTGAATTCTAAATCAGAAATAGAAATTGTGTCTTGTTCAACTGATTTATTTCTTTGGTATAACCACAGTTTGTTCCAATATGCTGTAATGTAACCCTGAGGTCACCTAGAAAAATTATTGATATCTTGTGAATAACGAACGGTAAGCTACCTGATAATGGCTCAGAAATGTAATATAATTTCCATTATTATTCACAAGTTTGGGGGTGATCTATCTAGGTTATTCTCGTGAGATGGTGAATCTATCTAGGTTCACTTATTCGTAATTTCACAAGGTGAAGAACATTTTCAAGAAACTTATTCTTTGTAGTAATTCTAGTTCAAATTTCAGGTGGTGAAAAATAGTTCCTTATTTTTGGTACTTCATTCAAATAAATCAAAAGAGTATTCATTAAACTTTCATTATTTTCACTAATATTTGATTTTCTTGAAATGAATATTTCAATATATAAATTGGTACTGAAGGTATTGTGGAATTCTTTCGACAATGTGCTGAAATATCGGTAGTTGATTTAATTTTTGAACTTCAGAATCAGTACTGACTTGTTCATATGTTCATATGTTTTAAGTTTGATATGCATACATATATGTAGACATTGCAGATTTTTAAAATATTATAAACGTCACTCACAATATTTGATAATTTTTTTCTGTGACAAAATACGCATCATCGTAAACTCATCATCAATTGTATTTCAGGTTCTACTCCGCTGGCCACTTCAGCAAAATATTGCTATAATTCCCAAAGCTCGTTCAAAAGAACATATGGAACAAAATATAGACCTCAACTTCAACATTTCAGAAGCCGATATGGGTATTTTGAACAACCTCAACAAAACACGTCAGTTTGCCTGGAATCCAGAAACAGTAGCCTGAATTTTATCCACATATTACGGCCCTAGTAAATAATTTCAATAAAAAATATGGGTTTTTGGTGACTCTTTTCTTACATATGACATAAAGGGAAACTTTCAGAAAGCTTTATTGAATTTTCAGCTCAATGTANTCAACATGAAACAATTTACTGAATCTCTCCATTATAAAATAAACTCGCTTTGATTTAGATTTTGGTTTATACAGATGTTATTATTTCTTCTTCATCAGTTTCAGGTTTCAGGTACAGGGACATCTTGTAATAATCTCTGGTTGATGTATAATGATATTCCCTCAATTTTTTCCAGTCTAGTTAGTTCTTTCATAATGAACTCAAACATGGAAAGTTTCAACATTATTTCATATCAATAAATAAAGTCCAAATTTTGAGTTTGAAGTCGTAATTAGATATATAATACTCTATTTCACAAATCGCCTAGCTTTCGTCTCTGAATAGAGAGTTCGTCAGGACACTAAAATAAAATACAATGGAAAAAAACTTCAAAAAATGGACAATACTTACAAGTAATCTGAGTTTCACAATTGAAAATTGAATATTGATGAAAAAATTTTAGACATGGAAAATCTGAGTACAATTTAAAATTATTTACATTTAGACATAGATGATTCTCGGTAATATTCTCAATTTGAAATAATCACACGTTGTATAAAATTCATCCAATGAGCATTTATAAAATAGTAATCTTTTCAATGATAATATCACTCTTGTCATAACAGTAAGCTTTGAATTTGACATTACTAACATCAGATATCTGAAAATTATGACATTATGAGCATTTATTAAACAGTAATCTTTTCAATGATAATGTCACTCTTGTCATAACAGTAAGCTTTGAATTTGACATTACTAACATCAGATATCTGAAAATTATGACATTATTAACATTAATGCACCAATTTTGTGAAATTTTTTCATCAATAGGCTCAACTTACTGTTAGTGAGAATGGCCGTGTCGAAAATAATGTTAAATTTAAACAGTTGAAACATGTCAATTAAATAAAACAAGTCATTACATTGAAAAAGGTTTGACTCCTCACTGATATAAGAAGAAAGATTATTCAAACTTACATAATAAAATCGTTATCTGGTTTGAAATCATAAAGTACTGGTAAAAGTCATGTGGCTGCAGACCACAGAGATAGATAATAAAACAGTAGACACTGATAGCTGTGGTTCAGTTTGGAAAATCGTTTGTTTGTATGTCTATGTTGAACTATGGAACAAAAGAGAACAATTATGGTGCAAGTATGATTAGAGTCATCTGTTTTGTGAGATTATCAATGATGAGTATTATTATAACTGTTTAAAAAAAATCTGTTTAAAATCTGTTTTTCCGTTAACCAGCTGTCGGACCCCTACGAACGACAACCCTCAGAAGTTGAAACTTGTGCGAGCTAAGGATTAACGAGGTCTTACCTTTTAACGTGTGATTCATAACACGGGTTGGACGATAGCAAGTGAAGATCGATCGTTCAGACTAGGGCTTGAACCACCGACCAACACGGCAGTCAAATCGAGTGAGTCAACAAATCACCCACGCCGAACCGCTTGGCTACCGACCAACCAACTATTATTATTAATTTCGAAATAACAAGATCAAAGTCGAAATTCCGAGTTTCAAAGTCGTAATTTCGAATAAAGAATTAATGATTATATGTGGCCTTTCTTCTGGGCTTCGTACCCTTCTACGCCTCCGTAGTTTTCAGAACCTGTATGAAAACTCTCTTTTCTAACACTTATTTCACAAGGCATTCAGTGCATTATCATGCTTGGGAAAGCTTTCAACAAATTTCTTAAAATGTTTTATGTTCCATTCCTTGATGCTAGCCAGTTCATGATGTGAAAGCGATTGAATATGATGACCGGTTGACCTTCAAAATGTTATCGGTGATGTTTTCTTAACCATTATTATTTCGAACCCTAGTTTGCAATCATTCTCACAATAGAACGTCGGTAACGTATCAAAGACAATTCTTACTAAAATGTTCTCTCTTAATTTTTCGTTAAATTTTGTGTTAATGAGTTCATTATTCCTTATCAAAGTGTCTCACCAAGAAACGGTTTTGGCTAAATATGTGAAAGTGGAACTGAATTCCGGTGATCTCATGCCTTTGATTGGATGTAAGATAATTTTATTTGAAAATATTGTCACTGAACATTTTAATTTTCAGTAGGAACTTCAAGGTTGAATGAACAAGAATTGGTGAGGAATTCATTAGATTTTGCTCTGGCATCTGGTTACCGACTAATAGGCAAGTGTACTTTTATTGAAATCTATAATAATATTTCGACTCAATTGATAGTTGAGTGAGAAAAGAGAAGAAAGTGAAAGAGGAGAATAGGGAAAGAGGGGTGAGAGAGAGACAAGAGAGATAAAGGAGAAAAAGGGAGTTTCAGTAAATCAGTTTCAGTAATTGAGTAGGCTATTTCATTCAGTTTTCCATTTTCGATTCATCACAGCCTCAATTTCCTTATTATATTAATTGCCCTCATCAGACTAAGGAATAATTTTCATCAATCTAATGATGACCTTCTTCAGCAATCATATTTCAATGTTTATTTCTCATCAGTTAGGTTAGGTTAGGATATGAATTGATTTGAAATCCCTGAAAGAATCTGTGAAAAATTAAAAAGAGGTTAGCTGAAAAATAACAATTATATTAAGGAAAGAAACTGAAACTTCAATGAAATAAAATACAAGCAACATCCAAAAAATTGAACTATTAACACGAGATGAAAATTAAAAAATCAATAACAAGAAATGAAAAATTAAAAGATTCCAAGCCAAGTTACTTCACGACCTTTCAATTATTAGTATCCAAAATCGTCTTCGTAACTGGACTTTTTACTCCGAGATTTGACATTCGAGTGGTTTCACCTATCCCCCTCTTCCCCCTCACCGCTTCATCGGTTTTAGCGGGAGCTGACCGTTTGGCGGGAGCTGACCGTTCGAAAGAAGCTGCTCGTATTCCGCTTGATTAGAGGTTTCTATATATTGCGTATCTCTACGCTAGCTGAATTCGTTGTTGGACAACATATATGCGGGTTCTTTGAATTTTCTCCTAAACCAGTGTTCCTCCTTGTGGATGATTTCAGCTTGAGCCCACCTGATGTTATGTTGATGACTCCAAATATGTTCTGCTGTTCCTGATTTGGCGGTTTTTCCTTGCTGTGTGTGTTTCTTAGATTCTGAAATGCGAACTTTCAGTGGCCTCTTAGTTTCACCGATGTACCATTCTCCGAACTCGCAGGGTATCTGGTACATACAATTATTGGAATCGCAGTTCTCGTTTGATGGCCTTGTTTTCATGAGGCTGCTACGGATAATGTCCCCAGATCTGTAGCAGGTTCTGATGTTATACTTGGACCCAATTCTTCCTATCCTTTCCGACAATCCTCTGAAGTAGAGACGTACAAGTAATGTTTGTTGCGGCTTTCCTTCCTTATGAGGCTCTTACTGTCTTCTAGTCAAAGTCTGTTTCATTATCACTTTGGAGTAACCATTCCGTTGAAGGTCATTTTTGATGATGCCTAGTTCCTTCTCGAGATCTTCCTTTGTGTTACAGAGCCCGAAAGCAAGGTCTACTAGAGTCTTGACGATTCTTCTCTTAGTCGATTGATGGTGGTTGGATTCCTGGTTCGGTTACGGTCCCGCGTGAGTGGGTTTTTGGTATACAGATAGATGTTTTCCATTTAGTGTCGGTCCTCTTCACCAATACGTCTAAGAATGGCAATTCGTTGTGGACCTCCTTCTCCATTGTGAAAGTGATAGAATCACTCCACCAATAGTTTTTCAACATTTCTGTTATCATAATTTTCCACATCTCAATTCAATTCATTATTTTTAAATAACCTTTTCAACTGTGAGATATTCAAATTACTACTAATACAACATACTAGAAACAAGTATCGATTGAGGAAAATACCACATTTCATAACCTCAAACGTCAAGTCAAAACACAAATTTCGCGGTAGTTTGCTATAGCCACACTTATCGGCTCAAAGAAACCAGTAGGTATAAGCTAAATCCTTTTTCATAATTCAGTTGATAATTGAATAAATATAAATAGATAAAGAGCAACATCATATGGCAACTTCTGAATGACTGTATCTGGTCTACAAAATGAATATTTTGAAATTGAATCAGAATAATTCATTCTTTTCAACGTTCTCACACTGTAGGATCTGGAACACAACTACTTTTTTGGCTAATACCACCATGGATATGAAATCATATCCGATATACCTATAAGTTATCTCATGAACAGGAGAGTCTGCCAGACTATAGAGTCTGTGAAAATGAAATCCACTCAAATGTCTGCAACTAGGTTGATTATGAAACAGGTAAATAACTGTTAACCTAAAGACAACACAAAACAATTAAGCCATCTCGACCTTCGAAGCAATAATCTGCGTAAAACAAAACCAACGCAATCAATCGCAATCTTTCTTCATCACTTGTATCACATCGGTTTGTTAGGCCACTCGAATTTATTTTTTTGCGCCTCTTGATGAAAACTATTGTAAAATAGTTTCGTAGTTTCTGAGTTCTTCGTGTTCAAACTGTCCGATGCGGCAGGGGGAACTTTGTATTATAACATTGAGTAATTATATACATTCAAACCTCTCACGATTAATCTTATTTGTAGACTCTGCTACTGTGTATCGTAACGAAGAACTTATAGGCAAAGCTCTGAAAGAACTTTTACCGAAATACAATCTCACTAGAAAGGACGTATTCATCACCACAAAATTAGGTAAGATTTGCTCACTTGAGTTTGTCAAGTCATAAATGAAATTTTTCATACAGCATCCTACGATCAAGGTGAAACGGCTTACATGGCACTGGAACGGTCCTTGAAGAACTTGAATACTGATTATGTGGATCTTTATCTTATTCATAGCCCCCGAGTAGTGGGGGTGAATTTATCAGATAGCCAAATTTCTCAACGTCGAGATCAAAGCTGGAAGCAGCTTGTTAGAGCAAAGAAAAATGGTCTAACCAAAAATATTGGTGTGTCCAACTATGATATAGAACATTTGTCAGAGTTACTGAAAAATGACCATGGAGTTAAACCAGCAGTGAATCAGGTGAATTATTGTTAAGTCTATGAGCTGCACACATGAAAATTAACGATTTCATTCAAGAATAAAATATGAAAGCTCACGATCATATTCATTTATACTTGAATATAACTTCAATTCGACCGTATTTTATAGAACATCAAAAGAATTTTGAATAGGATTCACATCATTCATTATCTGGCTCAGAATGATTCATTGCTTCTAGTATCAAATCAAATCAAATCAAATATGCTTTATTGTCCAAAGTATAAACTCGTTGACAAAGGTAATCATGTATAAATGAGTTCCATTATAATAACTATACATTATACATATACATTGGTTTAATGTATGTGTCATACTGACATATGGTTACGATTTTTAGTGAACAGCTAAAACAATTATAGATAAATAAATGAAAATGCATATATAAACTCACACAGTTTCGAAGAATAAAGAAGAAAGTGTTAGTAATTTTTGCTCCTTGAACAAGGGTTTACAAGACTGTCTAGGCCCAACTTTGCACAGATATCGGATGGCACGCTTTTGGAGAATGAAGACTGTTGAAGTGTTGTTGGTTGCAGGTGCCCCAGAATGATATGCCATATCTTAGATGCGATTCAACTACAGCGTGGTACACAATTTTTGCAGTACATTCTCGATAGACGGTTTCCATCAACAATCACGGCCAAATTTGCTACAATGTGATGAATTTCAGTTTATTTTTTATTATATATGAAACTAACACAATTTTCAATTTGTCGAATATTAAACCAACTGGTTTATATTCAAGGTAACACAAAGTAGAGAATTTTGCTGATTGATTTTTCCGAAAGAATATCGTCTTTCTCACTTTTTTCGTATTTACTCATGTAAGGTATGTTTTGGAGCTTCATAACTTACAAGGCTAGTGTTATCTTTCGTTATCCTACAATGAAAGATATGAATTATTGCAAAATTCAAATCATTCATCTGAAAATCAAATAGACCTTCAGTGTATTTGATTTGATTTCTCTAGTAGAAATTTTAGGAATTTTTTTCTGTCTTCAATTGGCTTGACCTGTTAGCTTGTAGGTATTCAAAAGATATTATTTTATCGTAGATGTTAAGGAGACATCAACTGAACTCTAGTATCCATGCGTTCTTTGCCTTTCTTACCTTGTTGAGGGTTGAGGTGGTTTTGAAGAGTTTGAAGATATTATGACTTTTACGTCAATCCCTTCAAGTATCCTGGAAGTACGACTGTTCATAGTTACTTGAAACTTGAGCTCTTATTTTTTTCTTATTAGTCAGTGGGCTATGCTTGAAAACTGGCAGAAAACAAATCTAAAGAAATGAACTTTAAATGTTCAAGCCACTCTCGAATATATCTACACAGTAGGTTGAATGGACTGACGCCTATCAGAAAACAACTACTCCCCTGGCTACCACCAAGGGCGTTGAATTATATCCGACAGGCATCATTGCAGAAAACTTTACAGAAAATTTCCTGCATATGCATATGCAGGGGAGTAGTTGTTTTCTGATAGGCGTCAGTCCATTCAACCTAGTCAGTACATTCTTTAGATTTGTTTACTGCCAGTCTTCAAGCATAGCCCACTGACTAATAAGAAAGTTTTTTTTCCTCATTCAGAGGAATCGGGCAAATTAAGGATATGCAGTTGGTTAGTACTTCGTCCACTAGATGGAGTGACATTTTGTTGTTCGCTCCAACTTAGGAAGAGAAATGAAATACTCTGACTTTAGGTCGATGATGGCCACTGATGCACTGATGAGTGGCTAATGAGCCCGAAACCGGTCTGCAAGTGTGCCCGTTCCAAAATTGAAGGTCGACTCTTTCTAATATATTGCCAATTGCATATGCAGGAAATTTTCTGTGAAGATTTCTGCACTGACGCCTGTCGGATATAATCCAACGCCCTTCGTGGTATTAGCCAGGGAGTAGTTGTTTTCTGTGGGCGTCAGTCCACTCAAACTACTGTGTAAGTATATTCGGAACTGTCTCGAACGTTTAAGGTTCATTTCTTTAGATTTCAGTTCTTATGCTTACTTTCATTGATTGACATAACTACTCACATATACATTATTATTTCATCCCAACAAGAGGGACTTGAAAATTAGTCAATTCGAAACAATATTATTGATTGAATACCATTACATCCCTCAAAAGTCATTTTCATTGCTATCGAATTTTTCAATACTATCGTGTAATATATCAAATTAATTCCAAAATACAGGGTGTTCATTAAAAATGCGGCAAAAATTTAAGGGACTATTTCGTGGACTATTCTAAATATATTTTGACCTTCGGTGATTTTTGACCCTCCACCGCATTTTTCGAAGATACGAAGTAAAAAAGAATTTCGACAATAACAATTCATTACCAAAAATTACATGTGATGTTTCTTAATCTAAGAAAACTGTTGCAAATGACTACCCTTCCTCGGATGTCCAATCTTTTCCCCATTGACTTCCGAACTCTTTCAAAAACAGCAGGATCGTTTCTGATTGACACCCAGCAATTATCCGATTTCTTAAATCTTCCACTGAAGTAGGGTGAACTAATGACTGTAGGTGGCCCCATAGGAAATAATGCAAGGGGTTCAAGTCCGGTGCTCGAGCAGGCCATAAGTGAGGTCCACCTCGATCAATTCAGCGATTTTCGTTTGTTACTGTAAAAAACTCTTGAGCCAATATGCTGAAATGCGCTGTTGCACCATCTTGCATAAACCACATTGCATTTCTTGTAACCAATAGTACATCCTCCAGAAATTGAGGTAGCGTATGTTCCAAAGAGTTGCGGTATACCTCGCCGGTAAGTCTTTCTGGCAGAAATACTGGTCCAATTAGAACGTCAACTCCAATTCCCTACCGAACGTTTAACAAGAACTGATGTTAAAAGCGATCTCCAAACACTTCATGTAAATCTTCTTCAGGTCAAATATAATTATTGTGGAAATTCCTTATGGCATTTCTTGAGAAACTGGCTTCATTGGTAAAAAGAATAAGCGTCAGTTATGTGCGCAAAAGCCGTTGACAGTGCCTGAACTCGTTGTGTGTGGTATGAGTACGTACAACAAATAGTCTCTAAAAATGTTCCAAATCGTCGCGGTACTAACATTTAAAGTATTTGCAATTTATCGAGGAGAGGTACCTGGATCTTCTTCCATCATGGTCAACTGATTCTCTTCTACTTCTACCGTAAAATCATCAAAGGACAAAATATCCTTAGATCAGTTCAAGGAAGAGTCCCTCAATTTTTGCCGTATGCTCAATAAACACCCTGTATATAAGTTACACCAGTTATCGAATAGTTTCCGAGTATTCTGTGATACCTTTTACCTAAATGTGGAAAGCAATTATCAAAAGAACACTTAAAAATATTTTCGGCTGCGACCTTTCTCAACCAACTGACTTCAAAATAACAAAGGTTCAAAACATCGCTTTAATTTTCTAGGTAATGAATTATTTCAGGTTAAGTGGAACCCCCATTACCATCAAGATGATTTACTAAGATTCTGCCAAAAAGAAGGTATTTTGCTTCAGGCTTATTCATCTTTGGGAGGAACTGGTGATAAGGATTTATTGAATGATGAAGAAATCAAGAAAATCGCATTGAAATTAGGAAAATCTCCCGCCCAGGTAAATAAAGTAGTTCCAGTAGAATATGAAAACCACTCAGAATATTTATTTATGTTTTGGGTAATTCTGTGGTTCTGAGAAGCACATGTGCCTCTTAATTTTTTTAATCAAAATATAGCAATTTTAAGGTGGCAATACTTTTGAAGTTCTTGCCATTTCTGTAAATGAATCCACGCATCATATTTGCATCAGCAGTCATATTCCTTACAAGTGTTGTGAATGTTAATTTACTGTTGTGTGTTATACCAAGATCTTTTATCTCATGTACGCGGTTGATTGTAGATTTGTTGATTGTACATTAAAGTTCGCTTTTTTGTTGTAAATGATATTATTTTACATTGGGATACGTTCATTTGTAGACGATTATTATAACACCAAAGTTTGATTACATCTAATTCATGTTGTACACGTTGGCAGTTAGTAATGTCGTCGATTTTATAATAAAGTTCCAGGTCGTCTGCAAATAGTAGGCTAGGAATATTGAAAGAGGTTGCCAAGTCATTATTAAAAATTAAAAATAAAAGAGGTCCAAGATTGGAACCTTGTGGTACCCCAGATGTAACTACGTACTGGGCCGATTTGAAAGATTCATATTCAACGAATTGTTTTCTGTTAACTAGATATGATTCAATTATAGTAAGCAGTTGTCATACATGATCTTTGTTGTTCTTTTGAAGCAGTGATAATATCGATTTTAGAGAAGGCAGGAATGTTTAATGTATCTAAATCAGAATAATGAGAATTTTCACGAAGCATATTCTCGTCCGAAACCAAGTATACACTTCTGAAGTACTTGGCGAATCCATTGACAATATCCCCAGGCTTATCAAATACCTCATCATCAAGTTGCATTATACCCGGAATATGCGAATGACCTTTTTTACTGTGTATACCTACTCTGTAGGTATATCGAGACTGGCTTGAACGTTTAAAGTTCATTTCTTTATATTTATTTAAGGATATGGTGATTTAAGTCTTTCTCCATGATTTTTTATGTCACGAAGGAACTTGTACTCTTTCTCAATAAAAAATTGGGGTATGGGACTCCCACTCGAAGGGTTGATTAATTCGAAATTCAGATATAGTGAAATATTTGCTTTATCAAATTCCGGAGTAATTACTAGTATTTCATGTTTCTTAGTGTAGTTCCATCCATGATAATTTTATCTGATATAGGCGTTAAAAGAGTATCCAGCATATATTTTGTTGGTACTAAACATTTGTAAAAATCGATATTGAGTATCTGAAGATTTCAAGTTTATTGTTACGTTTTTACCCGTAGGTTGACCAATAATTGACTACACTGACTATTTCATTTCATTTTAAATACACAAATACTCCAACTAAAACTTCAACTATTATTTGAATGTCTTTGGCCTATCGTAATCGAATACCGTAGAAATTTCGCCGAAGTTCTGTGGAAATTATTCTCGCTGCTTGTCGAGTGGCGGAGAATTATCGTATATTCGCACCCTCTTAACTACGTCTCGTTTGGTTTATGGTTACCAGTGGCGGCCGCCGCTATTTTCTTTCGGGCATGATTTAAAACATTATATATTCAGTTGCTTCAATGAAATTCGCTATATCAGGAATATACACATATAATCAAGAAATGTTAATGCAGTCAAGCTACTGGAAAATGATTTCATGAAAATCAAAAAATATATAGATCAGTGTCATGCTGATCATTTCCATATTGACGATGCCCAACAGGCTGAAACAGCTATCTACCGATGGCTCTCAAATTGAAAACAATATGAGAATGACTATAAAATCTATACTATTAATTTTCAGGTATTGCTTCGCTGGGCTTTCCAAGAGAATATTGCTGTTATCCCCAAGGCACGCTCTAAGGAACACTTGGAACAAAACATTGACCTTAACTTCATCATACCAGAAGCAGACATGAAAATTTTGAACAGCATCAGTCGAATACCACTACCCTAACCCATAATCTGAAAATTAAACGAATATTGTTTGTTCTAGTGATGTCTCTCTCGTTCTAAGTAAAGGGTGAATTTTCAATTTGTTAGGTATCAATGTTTATATCAATGGTAAATATATATCGTTAGTCCGGAGGAAAAACGATATAAGACGAAAAGTAACACTTTTCAGTTCACGGGATTTGAGTTTTCTCAAAAGTTTGATAATTTATTTCACGACATATACTAACTTTTCTTTTGCACTATGTTACCTAACTCAAAGATAATGGTGTTAAGTATCAGTTATAGTCTATTATAATTATTTACGTTGAACAATAATAGACAGAAAAATTAAATAAATTCTGTAGTTTGACTTGTGTCGTTTTACAACATCAGAAATTCTTGAAATTTGTAATGAATCTATGGCAAAATTCAAAAATATCAAAGGAAATATGCCGTATGGTATATTCTAAGGGTTTTTGTGGTTATTTGTAACCGTAAAAGTCAAAAATTTGCATTGGAATTATGGTCTAATTATTGGGTTGCTATAGTAACACATTAACAGGTTACTTTTAACATTGTGAAGACTCATAATGTGGTACACATTTTTTTTATAAATGATAAGATACCTTCTTTTTTTCTTTCTGTAATTCTCGGTTTGACGAGGTAAGCAGGTTTCAAAGTATAATTTGTGATTGACCTTCTGCAGTTGACGATGTTAGTTTCTTCATAGTCACAGGGAATCCATAGGATGTCTTGTACACTGGGGTTCCCTTTTTTGATTTCCAGAATTTTTCTGTAATGGGTACTTTTAATTTTATTTCCTGAACTTGGGGTAAATATTTTAAGTTATTAAAATCTTTGTGCGATAACTCATGAACAATAAAAGGATGTCCAGACTTTTCTGCAGTCCTGATCAGATTATAATATTAATCAGGTGTAAAAATGGATACAACCTTTTGAGTCTCAGTAATATTCAAAATATTCAATGGTTGAGTGTACGGCGTCCCCTTCATTTTGCGAATGGCCGGATATAAAGAACTTATGAGTAAGATTATTGATATTTCTCAATGTTTTCAGAACATTTTCAGAACTGATTTTTATTTTGACCGCAACAGTTATCATTGTAAAAGATAACGTGTCCCCCATTGCTCTCATCATTATTAAACATTATTAAATGAAGCAAAGCACAGGTACCAACTTCTGTGGACCCCCTCCCACCTTCTCCTTCGTGCCAAGTATAACAGTGAACTTTGTTTTTCTTTATGTCACGAAATGTTAGGTTGTAAACTCCCAGCTTACTAACGTAATCAAAAGGCGAAGTCTATCCTATTAGGCATGATAATAAGGCTTGCAGATCATAAACGGTGACCAAAGCTTTACCAATTTTGTCATTTTCCTTCTCTTGCCGGGATAGTTGTTTTTGCATCAAATGATTTTCATAAGATTCTTGGCTAGCTGCTTGTTCATCTCGATTCAAATTTTCATATGATTGGCAAATTTCGCACTGATTTCTTTTAGGTTTAATGAAAGATAAATTGAACTCATCAATGAAAATCCTGGCATACATTACATAATTTCCAGGTGGTAACACATCATTCATTTCACACTCTTCCAAATAATCCCTGTGCAAATCTCTAATTGTTTTCCCTATTTTCTTCTTTTTTCTTAATAACAGATCTGCATTGATGACTGCAGATCTACAGTCCTAATGGGCCGATCCGTAATGCAAAGAGTATTTTCAAAATACGTCTTACAAATATTACTGGAGTTTTTTCCCAACACCAAATCGTTATTTTTAACATCTCGACACGTGTTTCGATCACCAAGTGATCATCTTCAAAGAGGAAGATTAAAACTAGAAACTGATGCGAGCTAACCCTATTTATACTATAAAGGTAACCCATACAGGTATACCATCCAGGCGTACCAACCATTCAGATATACCAACCTAAATTAATTTTACAATTTAGCTTTATCTATTATTTTACAATATATGTTTATATAAAACAATTTTTCCCTATATAAAAATTAATTTCACAATATTGCCTATCCAAATTTATAGCTATATTGCTATATAGCTTGTTGAAATAAAATAAAATAATGTTGTTGGGTTTACTGATTAGTACATAAGGACACATTGCAAAAATAAATTTGGATAGGCAATATTGTGAAATTAATTTTTATATAGCTGAAAATTGTTTTATATAAACATATAGGTATTGTAAAATAATGGATAAAGCAAAATTGTAAAATTAATTTAGGTTGGTATACCTGTATGGTTGGTACGCCTGGATGGTTAACCTGTATGGGTTACCTTTATAGCATAAATAGGGTTAGCTCGCTTTAGTTTCTAGTTTTAATCTTTCTCTTTGAAGATGATCACTTGGTGATCGAAACACGTGTCGAGGTGTTAAAAATAACGATTTGGTGTTGGGAAAAAACTTCGAGAATATTCACGAGTTTTTAATCTTCCTCTTTGAAGATGATCACTTGGTGTTGGTGTTGGGAAAAAACTCCAGTAATATTCATTACTACACCAAAGGTTCCAAACAGTGCATCATAAATATATTGTTGATAAATGAAACATTACGCATACACCTATCAACTGAGTTGATAATATGCAGATAATTAATGAAGAGTAAAAATATTTTAAGACGTGATGAATTTCAAACTAATCTTTTGTGTTATTCAAAGTTGGTTGATTCAGCACCACATAGGCTTTCCTTATATTTTGAATGGAATTTGAAGTACTGAACGTTTCGTCTGCTACTGCGGCAAACATCATCAGTGGGATATGCGTTTACTGCGAGGACGGAAGTTGTAGCAATGACTGACATGCAAATTACTGACACAATAAAAGGCGGCCTCTTGTAAAAAAGTAATGGCGAATCTGGAGAAGACAGTTTTGGATAAATTGATGGAATAAAAAATATACTAGACCGATGTAGATACTAACATGAGGATCATACGGCTCCAAAGTCAGAAACATGTGATTTTAATCGTGAGAATTTATACTTTTCTTCAGAGATTCATCTAAAAAATAATTATGATGATGATATATGTTTTACTCAAGGTTGAACTTACTGCATTTGTTGTCTTGTAGGTTAGCTTACAAAAAAATTTTGTTTTTCTCTTCATACAGCAGTCATACATAAGGGAAAGTTATCAAGGACATGAACCATACACCTACGAGCTGTACGCCAGTTATGTTAGGCTACCAAAGGCACTAAGAAAATATATAACCGTAAACGCCAGCTCTGTCCTCGATTTTGGATTCGCTAACATCGAAACTCTCCTGAAAGATCTTCTACAAAAGCCTAGTAAATCACATTTCCAAGGTATTGAACAATGTGCTTGTGGGAAGTTGAAGACTTCCCAAAACTTCTTGAGGTCTACGTAGAGATTGAAACACTTACATAAGTGAGATTTATTTTCAATACTCTTTCATATATTACGTTATGTAGTCTGAGTATATTATCTGCAGGGTCAAGGCGGGACGGTGGTAAGATAGACAGCCGCCAAAAGCGCGAGTATCAAGAGGGCGCAAAATAACCATTACTAGTCCTCTTTTTTTAGACTGGAATAACTTCTTATCATGCAATAAAAATTACTTAGACGTGAATGGACTGAATATTTTAGCTCATTCAAAACTACTGCAGGTGAACTTGTTATATATGTATGGTTCAGAGTACAAAAAACAGCCATCAACATGAAAATCTAGCTCATAACCTAATGTTCATTGATGGGCCCTGCATTCCTCCCAACTTTCTCCTTCAAGTTGACAGTAAAACAATACCTGTATTCAGGTACGACCCCTCTTCAACTAGTGGGAGAATCTTTGTGTCGATATCCATATCTTGTTGATGTTTGAGCTCCCTTCCTCACTGTTGGAATCATTCTTATGTTCATGTATTTCCATAGCATCTGCCAGCAATTCTGTAAATGCCGATTCATCAGATTATTCCACTGATTGAAAAAGTTTCGGATCAATCAGGTAGAAGAGCAGACGATCGTCCGAAACCTATTATGAGTGCTCTATCTTGCTGCGCGTCGCTACAAGTTGAGTAGACTTTTTCACTTGGAAGATAGGATGAAACTCATTTCCGAGGAACAATTCGGGTTCCGGCGAGGTCGGAATATGACTTCTCAATTGATCCGGGTTGTTAACGGGGTAAAGGAAGCCTTCACCAGGAGAAGAATACAGTTATAGTTCTGTTGCGACATCCAAAAAGCTTTCGATAGAGTTTGGATAAAGGAATTTGTTGCCAAGATGTGGTCAGGCATTCCCTTATTTGTGATTAGGTTCAATCTTACCTGAGCAACCAAACTTTTCATGTGAGAGTGTACCAAACTACATCTACGAATTAACCAATCAAAGCAGATGTCACGCAGGGGTCCTGCACCGCATTTGTAATCTCTGTACAACAGCAGTACTTTGAGCGTAACAAAGTCGATGTCAACCCTAACAAAAAGGAACTCGTCAACTTCTCGGAGAAATTTACTAACGTGAAGATCTTCGGGAAGTTACGAATCAATAGTAACTGCGTTGACAAGCAGAGGAGCGCATGATGTCTAGGAGTTATCCTAGATAGGCGCCTGAATTTTCAGGAACATCTTAGCTTGTAGATCCGACGAGTGAGTGCTGCGGTAAAACGAGCGTACCCGCTCAACGAGCTGCTGGTTTTTAAACAAAGCGTTAGACCAGCTATGTTGTACGCCTGTCCCATATTCTGTAGCCTCAAGAAGACTCTTTGCGGAGACTCGAGACGATGCAGAATAAGGTACTCCGTATTTGCACCAACAGTGACAGATACATTTCATTAAATTATCTGTTAGATCTACCAGAAGTCGAGACGGTGACCAAACATATCAGGAGGCTGTCTTATAAATTCTTGTTCTTTCTACCGAAAAGCCCACTGACGAAGGACGTCACGGCGCTTAGGAGTTATCATAATAAACCCCGAAAACACGGGCTGATTTATGAAATGCTTGATATCTTCCATGAACGGCGCAAATGTTCATAAAAAATGCTGGCTAAGATAATTCATGTATTCTCGTAATATCAGAATTATTCTTACCTGCTTTTTTCAGGGGCCTATAGTGTTACACTTGCAACACCCATCTACTATATTCAGATATGAGGAACCGAAACCTCAACATCACGAAAAAACTCGCGTAAGCTTCGGAGGAAGCGGGAAATCTTAGAGTGAATGCTGAAATGAGGCTCTGTTAGGCAGAGAGCCACCCGTTAACACCAGCGGGGGCGCCTCCTATCGGCCTGTCGTGGGTCTATGAGGCGGCGCTGTACCTTGCGGACGTCCTAGGGCTCAATATTGAAGTCTCATCCTGCTGATCTCCCCTTTTCCTTCACCAATCATTTTTCCCTCCTCCTGCTACCCGCTGAGAATACTCTGTACAGTAGACCTTAAAGAGAAATGTATAATAAAGTATTTTTGATTTTTGGTAGAGCACTTTGACCGTTACCACACCGCCTTTGATGATGTCTGTCGCAGTAGCAAACGAAACCCCAAGCAAAACAATCTGCAGACCTAATAAACCCAGAAACGTCAGACAATTTGTCGGACACCGGCCG